TCTTTAACACTTGATGGTGATTTATCCTTATTACATTGATCATGCTCTTGATTTTCCATGTTCAGACTTAAATGTAATTTATTTTTTAAAGAATCAATATTAACGTCCTCTTTTTTGTTATCAAATGGATTTGATCTAATAAAATATAAAGTTATTTTCATTATTATTTTCAAAAATATAAGTTTTCAAAAATAATACAAAGTATTGGTAATATAATGAACATACCGTCTATTACTATCCATTTTATTATTCTTATGTTCCACTTGATCTTTTTTACGCAAATTAATTATTTCTTGACCAAACAATTGCACACTTACATCTGAATTATTGTCTGTATTAAATCTGCCAATCATGTAAGATGATTCATCTGTGGTCTTACCTATTTGATGTACCTAAAAATGTGAAACAACTTGTGTATAATTATTAATTCAATAATTATGTTTGTGTATATTTCACATAAGAATGTATTTCTTCACAAGATTTCAACATTAAAAGATCTTAATTAAATTGTTACATAACGACAAAATATTTATGAATACATATTATACAATACTGACATTATATATATTTTTTATCGAATAGCCTATTGTATATGAGAATTATGACAAACAATAATCTGTTTTAAAGTAGCTAAGAATATTTTATGATGAACTTTATCAATGGAAACATTACTCTCTTTAAATGTTTCTTTTATGTCTATATATTTTACACTTTCTTAGTATTGCTGTACTATTAATACCTATTTTACATTGCTCTTTAAAGTATTTAACACAAATTAACTTTAATTTCATCAAAAATTTATTTATCTATAAATTAAATAATATTAATGGTAATATAAATATTATTTAGTTTAAAGAAAAATTTTCCACTAAAATAATGAATGTTCTAGCAAATAAAAGTCCAAATTGTTCAATAAAATAATTTGCATGTCTATAATAAATGTATGTACTTCATGATAAGCATTAAGTTGGGTAAGATAACTTTAATAATGTCTTTTATATTTAACTACTTTAAATACCATTTTTTGAAAATATTTAACTATGAAATGTTTAATTATAGACATAGACAAATAAACTTAATGATATTTTTTATTTTCTATAGAAATATCTAAATAAAAAGGAAATATGTATCTAAATATATTTTTTTTAAGTTACTAAAGCATAATCATATAATAATTGAAATAATATTAATATAATAGAAAAATAATATAGAAATGTAAAATATTTATCTAATTTATTAAATACCTCTAATTCATGGCCAGTAAAGTGTGCTCTCAGTTGGTATAAATAAGTCATCACAGCTAATTTATCAGGTACAGTTAATATATCCATATCTGTTGGTTCTATTACTCTAGGTATACCAAGAACTTCCCCAGCATCAAATGCTTTTTTACAGTTACCCTTTACATCATGTGGCAATAATGAATCTATATCTCTGCAGATTTTCAGTCAAACATATATAATAAAATATTTATGGTTTTTATTAAATATAAAAACTGATAACTTAGAAATAAAAAGTATTTTTCTCTTTAATCAATTTTGTCTTTAATATTAATAAATTATGTAAATATTACTTAAAAAAATTAAAAATATTTTTTAATTCTCTATACATACATAAGATCTGGTCTAAAATGATGTATGATTGCACAAAATGCCATTCCATTCCTCCAAGATGTTGTAAGATTGGTAACTTTCACACCAGTATAATCTTTAGTTACTTCTTTACACCATTCTAATAAATCCTGACCTGGTGTAATTTCTTTTAATCTGGGAATATTGGCATCATTCTTTTTTAGTTCTAGTGGTTGTAATGGTAATCTTACTAATGTACTATGCTCAATATTTTTACTGTAATAATAATAAAATATTTATTGTTGATATTCAATATTGAAACAATTAATTAATCTTATTTTTTTTAATCAATCTGTAACATACATGTTTTCAACAGCAATAGTATCTTTTAAAGGTGATTTTTCTTTAAAGGGATCACCAATGCCTGATAAACTAAGATCACATATGATGTGATCACTATCATTTACAGGCGTAGTGTCATCTTTCGATAAACTTGTCACTGTGAAATGAGTAATATATTTACAATATAAGTTAATGATACATGTATGTAAATTTGTATAATAGATCATACCACTTATTGGAGTACTAGGTAATTCACTTTCTGTAAGACTGCTTGTCATTAGATCAAGCTGTGCAGAAATATCTAAAATTTCATCAAGATCTTTTCCAGATACTTCTTCGACATCTTCTGGTATATCTTCATTATCAAAATCATCTAAAGGTGCAATATCACTATTGTTGTTAACTGACATTAAACTAGCCATACTCTGCATATCTTCATCCCTGATTAAAATTTATAATGAATATTAAATTTGATTAACTATAAACTAAATATTAAAAAATATTTTCTTACGTTGCTTTGCCTTCCCTTAAGAAGACACAAGATAAAGTACATTCTAATGAAGCACTAATAATTTTTTTTGATGTAGGTTTCAAATCCAGTTTAAGTTGTTGCTGACTAGATTCTAGAGTTGCATATTTTTTCATGTTTATATTTGTAGCAGCTACATGTCGTCTTTTACCAGTAGGAGATACCTGGTTATATATATTAATGTATTAATGTATTAATGTATATTTTTAACAATAATGTTTCTACTGATTTTTTCTTACATCTTCAATTACAAATGTCCAATCTTTATCTTCTAATTCATGGGTTCGTGGATCTTTAAATAATGTTACAGAAACCGTATGATTATCAGGAACTGCCCAACTTATGACACCTTTTAATGGGTCACTTAAGCTGGGTTCCCAATCTATTGGTTCTGAACTAACTCTTCTACTACGTCTTGTCCATACAACACTTAGTTTGTTTGGCTTCCTATATAATGTTAGAAAATAGCTCCTTTATATACTACTTATATTACTATTTATATAAAATAGTTTCTAATAATATTTATACGCAATATATATATATATATATAATAACCAAAATCTATTATAAATATGTTATCAAAGTAAAAGCATAGTTTGTATTACAAATTTAAAAATACATTATAAATCAATTATTTCTCTAATATGCTTTTATTATTAACTTATCATTAAACATGACTATTAAACATGATTTATAATAAATACTGAATATTTCAAATTTTCTATATCATTCATAGTGTAATGTTTTTTGTCATTTTATGTATGGATAAACATATATACATATATGTTTGTGTCAAAATAATGACAAAATGTTATTTCTTTTTTCTATAGGTAAAAATTTAATATACTATTATAATTCTTTTTCACACAAAGTTTTTAATATACATAATAAATTTATATGTAATAATATATTAATAGAATTTTATGTAACAATGAAGTATTTCGTGTAGTTATTTTATAGTGCATTATAAAATAATAAAAACATATAAAATGATAAATATTGCATTAATCCATTTTAATGACGTTTAAAAAAATACATAACACTCACCATTTTGTTGTCGTTTCTAAAGTGACTTCATGATATGACACAGTGAATTGAAATTTTGCAGCTCTTTTATTTACTCGTTGCAATCGTTTCCAGACGGAACTCATTTTTTATTGAACTATTTTTTCGATGATTATCACAATGTTTCCAACTTAAAATAATTTACGTTCGTATTGGATGTGACACATCATTTTCTAACGAAATTATGGAAATAAAAAAATCAGTGGCTTATAAAACGTGTGAACAAAATATTTTTATTTATTTATGATTATTGAAATATTGAAGTTATAAGATTCTCTAATCATTCATGTATCTGACATTTTCACTAATGTAATATGATCAAGAGTATATATGTCTTTATTCACGAAATTCGTTTTCTTCAAGTTGTTACACGCTTCAATACCATTTTCATGAATGTAATGTTATCTACGCACAAAACAATGTATTTTGATAGTAGAATGATTTAAAAAAACTACAACCACAGGACTAACACCTCTCTCAATCAACCCAATCTCATACTCTGACGAAACCTGTGCAACTTATTGATCTCATACTACACAATTCTATGATACGAAACTTGGTTATAGTGTGTAATGAATAAATATTGCTTAATAATGACTTTAAAATTCAAATAATTAGTTTTTAAGATTATAATTTTTATAAATATTGGAACGTTTTGTTAAATACTTATAAAATTGGTAATTAGAATTGATCTATATAAAAATAAAATTTTGCTTTATAAAATTACATATATTTAACATTAATTATATATATACAATAATACATACGTGTATTATATACAGACTACGTAATATGCAAATAGCAAATTTTTTCAGAATACTTTTTATATGTTATACTGTATGTCGTTGCAAGTGTAGAACCTAGAGGGTGCTACTGACATTATGCCAAGATGCAATAGGAACATCTTCTCTAATCTTTACTTATTTTATGAATTTGCGTGCGCAACTTCGTTTGAAATTAAATTTTGAAATTGTAATTGTTCGATTAGTTAACAATTTTCTAAATTTTTAATAAAATAAGAATACGCTAGCAAATGCACATAAATGTAGAAATATAGAAATACAGAAATCGTAGAAATTATGTAGAAATAATCAGATATGAAACCAAAAATAAGTCTTTATCCAAAATAGCAATTAATTATATTAGTTATAAATTATAAAAATAGCAAATATTGTATTACAATTGGATAAAAAATTTATGTGTTATGTAAAAAGAAACAGAAAATTAGAGAAAATCCATAATTGATGGGTATTATGTTAGTAACATCAGAGGTAAATTAATGAAAGTCATTGAAAATTGTTGAATCATTTACAATGTACATTGCAATTTGTTATGTAATATGCTCAATGTATATTTATATTATCTACGTATTAAGTATGAAGTATCTGTGTTGTCCATATCATTGCAGAAATGGCAAATTATCTTATGCAAGAGACTCTATATAATACGAGAGAATGATTTCAGCGCAAGTTATCTACGTATTCTTACGAGAAACGGGAGAAACAAAACAAGAGTAAACGCTATTTTACATTAACAAGTATTTAATCTTATCCAATTGTTAATAATTGTGTACTATAGTGAGTGTTTAATGAACAAATTCTTATTTGTAAATTAATGTGAAAAATGGTTTAGTTGTTTCACCATTTGTCATCATATAGTTTATTTGAGAAATCAAATACACAGTGTTTTAACGCAAACTGATATATTTTTAGTATAATACAATTTAAATCTGACACATAGCCATTCGATCATTAGTATAAATTTTCCTATTATGCTATATATATTTTAAATAAAAATAAAATATAATCTATTATATGATGTGGTATAGTATAGTTTCTAGATAATAAAAATTTGTTAGTGACATAATAAATTTTATGTATGTGTGAAATAAAAGGACACTTTTTTTATTTGATTGTTATAAATAATAGCATAGGAGAATATAACTAATGCAAAATAATATGAAATATGTCTCATTTATCATTGCACTGTGATAACTTGTAAAAACAAATTGATAAAATAGAGTATAATAATTAAAGGAAATAGTTATCTTAATATTTGCATTTTTATTGTAGACAATCAAACACAATGTTTCTTGCCACGTGGTTATTATCAGATATCTTGGCTACTGTGGTCCTTGTAGGTGCTGGATTGTACCTTTATTATAAATTGTACGTTTATAAGTTTTGGAGTAAAAGACGAGTATTTTATATCGAACCTACTTTCCCCGTTGGAAATATAATGCCAATCATAACCGGTAAAACATCACTAGGTAAGTATAGAAATAAATAATAATTGTTTTAGTCTTAGCGCTTTGCGTAAAATGCCCGTGATCAATGATAAATTTTTATTATGGCATTATAAAAAATAAATTTGAAAACATCAATTTTATGTTGATGTATAAATACACAAACATCTTTTGGTGAGATTTATTGATTTGTTTGTAAATTAGTGTAATTAACATTATTTATTAGTCTTATTACAAACCATTTATTAAAAGTGTGCATTATTCATAATCATCAGTGAATTACTATTATAAATTACGGTTCGTGAAATTTTTACTTTACAGCCGAGTTCTTCAGAGATAAATATGAACAGAACAAACAGCATCGTCTTGTTGGCATATACATGCTTCATAAACCATTTTTACTTGTGAATGATCCTGATCTAATTCGAGATGTACTAACAAAAGAGTTCTCAAATTTTCATGACCGTGGAATATTTTGTAACAAAGAAACAGATCCATTATCTGGAAATTTATTTCAATTACCTGGGAAGAAATGGAGACACTTAAGAGTAAAATTAACACCAACCTTTACTTCGGGAAAAATTAAACAGATCTTCCCAATTTTAACAGAAACTGGAAATATGATGGAAAAATTTTTTAATGACAAGGCACAAACCAGATCAACAGTTGATGTGAAAGATATATTTTCAAGGTAAGCGATTTAAGAAAAATCTATTTTCTGAATATATTTATTTAGCATTAATTTAGTACGAATCAATATTAGATTCTTCGATAGTAGAGCAGTAATGTGTGATTCTATCAGAAATTAACAATATCAAAGTATTCTATACTTTAGTATTCATTAAGATGAATAATACTTATGAACTTCTTTCTTCTTATAATGATATTTCGGCAAAGAATATTAACAATATTAAATAATAATGTAATATATGCAGATAAATTGTGTCATGTAACAAAATACAAAAAGGATATATATTATTAAAAACGGTAACGATGTTATTCATATATTCATACATAGTTATTGGTTTTTCATTAGCATTTAGAGTATTCAAAGCTGACTACAATAATATTTTATATTGATACTAGCAAATTAATAAGGAACTGATTTAAATTTTTGAAATGAAAATGTAATTATCTAATTATATATAATTATAATAATATAATATGACTATAATATAATATAAATATAACAATTTTTATTATAATGCATTAAATATTACTTATGTGTACAAGATCTAGATACACATTAGGATAGTTTTAGCGTTAATGATCCAAATAATGAAAAAGGAAATGAACGGTTGAAAGTTTTTGTTAATATAGAAATAAATAAATAATAAATCTTAAATAATCAACTAAAGTAAAAATTATAAAATTCCACGTCATCTCACAATTTTTATTACTTGATCGTAAATTCTCCTAAACTATACAGCCAATTTTCATCAATTTTTAGAGAAATATTCTACATAATGTAATCTACAATATAACGTAAGATTCATTTTGATGTTCCATTTATTTGATTTTTTAAAAGTGTTTAAAGTTGATATTTTTTTTTTTCATTTTATTGCTATTTCTACTTACAATTGCTAGAAACTCTACACTATATTTTAAATAATAGATTTCAATTCGTGAATCGAAATTAAATTCTTATTTAAAACATTCAAGAGAGAAGAAAGAAAGAAAATTGAAAAATGAAACTGCTTATTACATTAATGTAATTCACTATGAGAAAAACACAAAATGAAATTTTAAATGATAGTTTAAATTAAAGACATCGATTAATAGTAAAGTGACAATTCATCTTGAATAAAACATTCTTTGTTTTTTGAACTGAATGGATGTTAATGATATATTTCATGTGTCGAGTATGCATTTTTTATTTAGTGGTTTTTCTTGATGTATTCGAAAATATGTAGTTTTAATATTTCCATTTTGACGTTTGATGTACAATTTTCATTATATATAATATATATTCTGCAATATTAATTACAATAATATGCCAAATATCATTTTGATTAAATTGCATAGCGAAGTTTAAAATAAGGAATAGAAACTTGTGTACAAAGGTATGAATTGAAATAAATTCTCTATAGAAATTTTGGATGTAAAAAGTTTTGAGATAATTGATGAAGATTTTGAAATTTGCGTTATAGAAGAATAGCGACCATTTAAAGTCAATACGAATCGTTTCGAGGAATACAAACATTCTTGTAGTCGTTTGTATACATATGTATGTATGTATATGTTGATTACAGACATACACCATTCATGCACACTCATAAGGTTAATTATATGCAGTAGCAGTTTTCAGTAATAACCCGACAAGGAACGTGTGCATCATTTGTCATGATCATGATAAACAGGATCATGATAACAGTATATAACACGTGAAAAAAGTATGAGATACATCCTACTCAAATGTCATATCATTACCGTAATTAACTTTTTTGCCGCAATAGTGACGTAACGATATCTAAATTACGCATAAACAATAATTAATTATAGTAATATGCAGTATATAATCAAAAAAATTTGTATTTACAAAATTCGACCTAATTAAAAAATCTTTATTTTAATTTATATTATGTTAATATACACGGTATAATCGAAACATGTGATTAAACGTTGATATCGTGTTTCCCTTCTTTTAATAATGGAAATATTATATTACACCTGCAATATTTCTCTCTTTGAGATAAAACACTTTATCAATGACAATTTTATACAATCAGCTGACATATGTAGAAAATATGTTATTATATTTTTTCTTTAGAACCGAATAATAAAACAAGTCATCATGATATTGACAATTCAGTTAAGAGCAATTTCTCATGAAAATATATAAAAATCTTAGAAAAGAATATGTTTGACATAACTTTATTATTTACTGTGATATATTACTGTATATTACGGAGTATTTATGTTTTTCATACATAGAAGACAAAATTCAGATATAATTTCATCTATGAACAAATGCAAATTCACATGTTATCGATCAATTATGGATGAAACATCAACTTTCACGTCATATATGGAATAACATAATTAAAATCTTAATTATTGAATTGAATTCTTCCTTGACTGTACTCAGCTATAGATATTGCACAGGATTTTTGAAAATTGAATTTTCTATAGTATTTTAAGAGATATATTGACAAAATGCACTGGAATATGAGGTTTATGTACGATAAAGTTGTTAGTGGGTATAGTTCGTGGACTGGTAGACCATGATTTATACTATGATACTTACAAGGGACCATATTCAATCCGCACAAGCCGACTTGTTGAAATTTATATGAGAGATAGTTCTTAAAAAAATATTTCACACGTATTTTTTTCATTGGTCATCTTTCATGTTGAAGGGGTGAAAGCAGCCCTCAAAGGTAGAGGTTGAAAGCATATTTTTGGTATATCTCGAGAACTGAATGGGTTAGAATCAAACCTTTTTGCAGAATATAGCATTTTTATTAAATAATATATATATATTATGTTATTATTATTAATAGTGTATTATAAATTAAATAACATATATGTTAAATAATATATATTAAATTATATATTGTATTATACAGTATAGCAATTTATCGTACTAAATTAATTTATTTTCATGTAAATGAATACACGTGATCTATGGATCAAAATAGGAGATACCTGTTTCTGGAATTTTTTATTTTCTCACTGTAAATAATAATAATAATAATTGACACAAGTAGCTTTCAATAATTTCGTGCTATGAGAAATATTCCGGGTCGAATTCTATGTCCATAGTAAACTTTTTCAATGTTTTGGATAATTGTTACCAGTGTACGATTTATTATATTTTAACTGATGATGAAATGAGAATATATAGGTTTTCATTGTGTCTCATTTTTAAGCATTATAAACACACTTAGATTACTTAAACATTTGATTGAAATGTAAAGATGAAACTGAGATTTTTTAACATCATAAGGTAATAAGCTGAAGGAACATTGAACATCGAAAATTATACTATATATTAATACATGTTCAAAATGCAAGCTTCTTCCCCCAATGTAATATTCTTATGTAGAAGTTTCAATGTGTTCACAGCTGTAATAATTCTTTCTTTCAAATTTGTAATACCAATAATTGATGATTGATATTTATATATATATAACGGACTGTATGTATCTTCATAATGATAAATCTTGATTAATTACGTTAGCTAATATTATTTACATTATTGCAAACATAGTCCACTACTTTTTAAATTGTCTTGATGTTTCCCAGAATGTGATAAAAGGAGAATTATCTGACTGTTTGAAAAACCTAAGGCAACTATGATTTTAATATGAAAAATGACTATTTCCGAAATTTGTATTATTTTGTTATTAGTCATTTGTTGTACATACAATACCGATTTTATCAATTTATATCATTTCTGAAGAAAAAATTTTCCAAACACTATGAGTTTTTGTAATTTCTCGATTGGTCATAATTCTATGATATTTTTTTCAGATATTCTGTGGATATTATCATGTCAGCGGCATTTGGAATAACGTGTAATAGTTTTGAAAATCCAAATAACGAATTTATGTATTGGGGCAAGAAAATATTTGATCCGAAGCCTTTTTGGAATGCTCTTATTCTATGGGCTCCACAGGTCTTTGATATGTTTTCTCTGTCATATAACGAGAAGGATGTGACAAACTTCTTCACTAATATGTTTAAAGAAACTGTAGAGTATAGACAATCGCGTAAGATTGAGAGAAAAGATTTTTTAAATCTATTGATTCAATTAATGAGAAATGGGTATGTCGAACCAGACGATACTTCAGAGAACGTTAATATTTCAAGTAGTTATTTTTTTCATTTCTAATTTATCAGTATCTCAAAAGAATAATAGATATTTTGAGATGATTCAAAGTTATAGAAATAAGAAATTATAAGTTTATTCTTTTGTTGAACAGCCAGTAAATTGCTAATGTCGGAGGCTGCAGCACAAGCTTATGTTTTCTATTTGGCTGGATTTGAAACATCTTCGACTACAGCAACATTTTGTTTATATGAATTAGCAAAGGATCAAGATATACAGAATAAAGTACGCGACGAAATACGAACACAGATAAAAAAACATGGTGAATTGTCATATGCTGCCGTGCAGGATATGGAATATCTTCATAAAGTAATCTCTGGTTTGTATACAACTATATTCTAATAACTGATAGCTATCATTTGATAATTATTTAGTTATTACATATACAATATTCACGTCATTAAAGTATATAAATTTCTATATTATATACAAGTATAATATTTATATTTTTACGTATTTATATATTATATGTAACATTATACAGGATGTCCTATTTAACACCTTTGACGATTTTTTAAGGACTTGCAGTAATCTGACAAAAAATGTTTTATACAAAAGTTGATCAGTTTTCGATTGGTTATACAGTAGAATAAAAAAAATTTCAAGGTCACCTTCGTTCTTTTAGGTGGCATTTAATATTTTTGACTTACAATTAGTAATATTGCAGCTCGTATCTAGACGTTTTCAACGATCTAGTATACGACCTTTTGATAATCTCGAAGGCAAAGAAATGAAAATTGCAAGGAAAAATAACGATCAGCATAAATGAAAGATAATAACTTGTGTTTATTATTAAGATTCGAAATCGCTAGTATTCTTGCATTACGAGAAACTTATATACTGTCAACAATTCACAACAAAGTGATAGCTTAGCTATTAAGACAGTCCCTGTGTTTAGTCTTCACTTGTTACGAAAACAAACCGTAGTTTATTATTAATTTTAATTTTAATTTAATTTTTTTATTAAAACAGTGAAAAGATGACATTGTTGTTAATACTTGGCGAATGTAAAAGAAATGCACATAAAGCAAGGTTCAGAGAACATAATTTTCAACATAAAATTGTGTGCATAAAAAACGAATGTTTAATATGGACTCGTACACGGTCACCTAATTGGACCTTATTTTTATGAACATAATTTATCATCTAAAATTTATTTAAATTTTTTTTCCAAGCAACTTCAGACATTGATGCAAGGTGATATTCAGGCTTCCAGGTGATATTCAGTAACGTATTTATTTCCAAAAAGACGGTTGCCCATCTCACGATGCTCGAATTGCTTGATTTTTTAACTACTTAAATTTAAAATTTTGAGAACATTGATTTGGAACTTACGGTCCTATTGCTTGGCCAACATGATTCCTTAATTTGTCTCCAATTGATATTTTTTCTATGGGGTCATCTGCAGTCAATAGTTTATGCTGCGACATATAAATTATACTACGGCAGTATCCTAAGAGCAACCAATACAAACTTACTACGTAGAATGGAATTGAGTCTACAACAAAATCAAATTTAATGCGAACATTCATTGCGAATTTTTTATGAAATCGTTTCCGTTCAGTTACTCGAGGTTCTTGAATTGAATGTAATTTCGAGTCTTAATAATAAGCACAAGTTATCACCCATTCATACTTAAAGTCAATGCCTGTTTATTGTGAGAAATTAATGTCACGAAGTTTCTTTTCTTTTTTATTATCCCCTCTTTTAGCTTGCAATTTGTTTTACAACATTCGACAAGCTTGTTTATATTTGGATGTGAAGTAATAACACGTCGGTATTTTCCTAGTGGTCTATACCATTTACTATCGCATTAAATCCGTAGGATGCTTTTTGTTCAATCTTCTCTGAATAGGTAGACTATATAGATGTTTAGCTAGTGAGTTAGGATGGTTAGCTAATCTTAGTTTGTTAATTTTGGATAGCCGTGTAATCACTTCCTCCACCGATTCGATTTTAAGGTCCTTTCTTAGATCGTCTTTCTTATATACCAGGGTGCGTTTACTATTGTGCGTAGTATGATAGATTGTAGGGACTCAATTTGTTTAATGTAACAGTTTGCTGCCGTGCCCCAGAGTTCAGCTCCGTAAGTCCATATTAGTTTGATGATTAACTTGTAAATCAGTAGCTTGTTTTCAGCACTTAGTTTTGAGTTTCTACCTGTTAGATAACTCATGATTAATCTTTTTAGTTTGATTTGTTCCACTTTTTTCCTGATGTTGTGCTTCCATGACAGTTTACTGTCTAGGTGGAATCCCAGGTATTCGACTACGTTAATTTGCGGTATAACTTTGTTGTTTATTGAGACGTTGGGGGCTAACTGTTTCCTTAGTGTAAACATTATGTTGTTGGGTTTCTCCTGGTTAATTTTTATTTTCCATTTGATGTACCATCGTTCTATTGCAGAGAGACCTTTTTGTAGCATTGTGGAAGCAGTTTCGGGATCTTTGTGCATTGCAAGGATTGCAGTATCGTCTACGAGAGTAGAGAACGTTGTGTACGGTGTGGTAGGCATGTCTGCAGTGTAGATGGTGTAAAGAGTAGGCCCAAGTACGCTCCCTTGCGTGACGTCTGCTTTTATACTGAATAGCTTAGATTGATCGTCATGAGATTGAACAATAAATTTTCTGTTAGTTAGGTATGATTTGAGAAAGTGATAATAGGATGTAGGGAAGTTTGTTGCAATTTTAAGAAATAAGCCTGAGTGCCATACTGTTGCGGCCCTAGGACCGCAATATCCCAGGTTAAGTGGAGGCCTGTTTCATGCCTTTATTGTAAGCATCCCTTATCATGTATAAACTCAGCGTCGCCTAACCCACCGCTAATATAAACCATGACAAGGACTGATATCGTAGCCTCTTAGACGACGGTCATAAGAGCCTAAATGTTTAAACAACCACCACCACCGAAGGACGCTGAAGTTAACATACACCTCCAATATCATATCAACCAATCAGAAGACAGTCAAGCCTTATAAAACTACCGACAGGGCATTCACAAGGGGATTCTCCGTAAAACCTCCATCACGACCACATCAAGATTCTCTCTAAACTCCATCACGACCACAACATCATCAAACGAGACCCACCAACACTCAGCACAGGAGACTGTCTACTACTATAGAACTCCTTGCAGTTCAACACCAACCAGGTCTACCTCTATCAAGTTAGAGTAGGCCGCATCCCAAGCAGCATTGCCGCAGCAGCGTAACGGGCCTTACAACCCCGTGAAACTCCACGAGCGAGTTGCAATGCTCGGGACGCAACGCATACCTTATCGAAGGCCTTTTCCACATCCAAAAATATGGCAGAGCAATATAATTTATTTTCGAAACATGTGATAATATTATTTACCAGTCGGTGTACTTGGTGAATTGTGGCTTGTTCGGTTTTAATGTCCTCTTGATTTGTTTTAGGGTGCATTCCTCTTAGGACCACCTTATAGCTTCTGTCGTTTTTAAATTGATATGTGTGATAATTAGCATTTTTTGTTTTTAAGGCCCTAATCACTTTTCTGTAGCATTCTGGAGAATTGGTTTGTACTTTAACTTGATTTTTCCGTTCATGTTTGATAATATAATCGTTTTCAGCTATTTCGTCTAGTAGTTATCTTAGCGGTTCGATTACCTGTGCTTTAATAAAGATCAGTGGTGTGTTTTGTTTAACTGGTTGGGCATGTTGTTCATTTGTTTCGAATCCTTCTTCGGCTGAGAAGACCTCAAAAGAGTTAGAGATTGGTACATCTATCAACCATTTGAAAGCAGTTTTGCGTTTCAATGGGTTTTCAGTTGTAACTGTATCCATTAGGTCGAGGTCACTAGGAACTGGAATTTCTTTCTTTTTATGATTTTGAGTGACCGCATATCTTTCACAAAATTTTTGTATCTTTAGATGAAGTTCATTGTTTTGGCTGTTAAGAGTATTATTTGCCATGCCTGCGGACAGGCGATTTTATGTGGCTGATAGCAGTCCTAACGCATATCTAATAGTAGTTCACTAGTTCGCTGACGTAAACACTGGCTCAACAATACACATCTTATTCACACGGATGCTAAGAAGCGACTGACGAAAAAGTTAAATTAAAATTAAACGGAGAAACTAAATTACAAATAAAGTTATTTTGGAGCGCACTCTTTTAAAAAATACTGACTACTACTGCTATATAGTTAATGGCATAAACATGGGCGTTAGATATTTTTATGATTACTATATACTAAGAAAACGTACGCTTTTTTAATAATCCGAAAGGATAATAACTAATTAGAGTCTCAACGTCACCAGCTCAATTACCATGTTACAATCTCGCGCATAAACCAACGACCTCAGCATGTATGCCACAGGCTTCGAATATGGATGCATGCTGAGGTGCCGTTAATTGCTGGACAACTCGTATAGTAAATTAGTAACTGACTGACGATCGATAGTCATACTGTCGACGAGGAACGTGACAAACCCACGCTCTAGAAATTTAATAATTTGACACATCACGCTTCCGCTTAGAAATTCCTTAAGAGGATGTCGTAAGTAAAAAATTTTGTAAATATTGTTCTTCCTTTATTGTTAGCATTGCGGCGTATGCCATCTTATCGTTCAGGACGACCAGAAATTTAATTCGTGCCTTGTGTGACATTCGGTTGGTATTCAAGTATTTCTGATTAAACTAACGGGTGAGCCTTAATCAATGAATCCTTACGCGATCCGTATCAAAAGTTCAAATCTCACTTCTGATTTGTAAGAGGATAGAAGGAGCGGTTGACTGACTGTTACAGACTGCCCTTTTGCTGTTTTATTTGCGCGAGTGCGACAGGAGGCACCCGTTTTTCTATAATAACACTGTCTTTCGAAAGATATTCTGATTTGACATGTTTTGCTAACAAACAAATTTCTGTTTCATGAGCTGGGTCATTTTTCTCTTCTTTCTACTTCCTATTCATTAATACTTTTAAAATAGCAGGACACAATTACATTGCAAATTGACATGCAGCAACTCAAAAATTTTTACACGTACTATTTTCTCATCGAGTATTATAATTTAAAACATACAATAGAAACTCGAAAGTTAAAGAGGAAAAGTCAACCTAATGTAAATTCACACATAGTCAAACAATTTTGGTACCAATATCAATTTTTGATATATAGAGTGACAATATTTAAGACTCATTCATGAAGCTACTTTATCTCTCATTATACTCAGTCACAAAAATTCCTCAAGATTTTTAAGAGATTTTATAAAGTGGTTCAAAATTTTCTTTTCCTATATTTTTTATTTTTGTAAATTTTTGTTTTTCTCTTTTCCTGAATTTCTTATTTCAATTTCTTATTTTGGTTTATTATCCTTATCTATTTAATTGCCGCATGATTGTTGTACAAAACTTTGTTACTTTCAACCGAAATTTCTTAAGAACGCAGTAACAATTTATGAGATATTTATTGAATTTTGCAATTGCGTTCTAAATTTATAAAATTATACATACGTTTTATTCATTTAATTCCTTTTCTTTAGCAGTTAAGAGAATAAAAAATATATCATATTCTCAGGAATCATTTTGAGGAAGGTAATAAACATATTGATTGATAAAATATGGAATTTGAAATGATTTATTAAAGATCATATAACTTTTTTCAAGTGTATAGGAATATGAAAAGATCGTGTAAATCTATTAGTGAAACACTCAGTTCAAATTTTAATGATATTTCTACTCTGGTTTTGAAGAAAATGAGTCATGAAATCGATTGCAAATGTCCTTGAGACATTCGCAAACGATAATTTTTTCATATTTCTAATGCTGAAGACAATCAAAATAAAGAAATTCAAAGATTGGTTATCTCAGATATTTGTCATTAAGGTTATAATACAAATTATGAAATTCATTTTGAAATTTCAAATTTGTAAGAAATATTTACACATCTAACCATTACATATGTAAAAGCCTTTCAATTTGTGATCATTAAACCCAAATTTAAACTGAAAAACAACACATCTATGTACCAATGTGAATATTATCTTGATAACATTTAAAACGTGTATTTTATTAGTACATATGTGTTACATGTTTACTACATAAACGGTTTTACAATCACTGTAAGAGCCAACAACTGTAAACTGTAAAATTAGTTTTATGTAAAAATTTTTAATTCGTTTCAGAAACTTTAAGAAAATATCCCCCAGTTGTTATACTGAACCGTGTTTGTACAAAAGAAACACAACTGAAAACAACAAACTTTAGCATACCTGTGGGAACCTCCTTGGCGATACCAGTTTTTGGCATCCACCGAGACCCTGATGTATATCCTGAGCCGAATAAGTTCGATCCAGAACGATTTTCCGAAGAAAATATAAAAGCTAGACATCCTTATAACTATTTACCATTTGGCGAAGGACCAAGAATATGTATCGGTAAGAATAATTTCTTAAATGATATAATTATGGAGAAAACTGCGACATAACGAAAATTATTAAACAAATATCCAAAAAGCCACTTTCTTGTTTAGTGTCATAGAAAATGCAATTGATTGCTGAGATTATTAAAATGTGCTCCTTCTTAGTTTATAAAAAGTTAATAAAAGTTTATAAACTTGAATTTTATATTTTTCGAGAGAAGATCCAATTTCAATGAAACTTTGTAGGCTTGTAATTACAGTAGACTTTTTAGTTTCTAGAAGTCAAATTTAAGCGGTGACACCACAGAAAATATCGATTCCCAAAATGCTAATTTAGATACTTAAGCATGTCGCTGCAATAATCAGTGAATTTTTAAGCGTTTCTTTTATCTCTAATTATTTCTCAATTAGCATTTTGAGATTTGATCTTTGGAGCGGGGCTTCACTCCTTAACTTTGAGTTGTACTAGCTTTGCCTATTACACAATCCTATAAAGTTTCATTCAAATCAGACCTTTTCTATAATTGCTGTTAAAGGTGAATACATTTCAATAATTTTGAAAATTGGTTGCATTTACTACGATAACAACCAAGTAATTGACAATGGTGATTTTAATCATCTTACATTTGTTCGATATTTTTTTTGATAATTTTTGTGATATTTATTCAGTGTATCTCATCATTTTACATGGTAGTATCATCGGGTAGGTGGAAAAAAAGAGGAATAACATTTTTCTGTTTAAAGCTTCGTTTACAAGGAAATTGAGTTTGAAAATGTGTAGATTTATTATTAGTTACATTACATTAAGTGAATTGATGATACTGTCGATTTTGCTGACGTATACATAATCTCTCTCTTATCAATGAATCATGAACTGATGTCACAGTATTTCGTCGTTTCACTTGATCGAAGGCATTTGTTATTCTATCCTTTAGTTGTGAAAAATCCTGACTGGTTTCAGCACACGTTATTTCTTTAACATGACCCCGTAAGTAAAGGACTAGTGGATTAAGATCTGATGATCTTGCTGGCCAATTTATTATTTCGCCTTGTCCTATTCAACATTGATGCCTTCACTTCGTGAAAAGTGAAATGGTGCTCCATCCTGTTGAAATATTAGCTTTTGTTTGATAGACGATGGTGAAACGATAACGAACATGAAAGTGTAACTGAAAATGATTATAATACGGGCGATCTTGTAACAATTTTGAAACTTTCTTGTGAACGAAGCTTTAAACGGAAAAATATTATTCCTTCTTTTTTTATTCATTTTTGCACATAGATTGTAACACCCTATATATATGCGCGTGGTTTGCTTCGACGAGATACATGATGATTATTTATGATAGAAAAAAATGATATCTTAACATCTTTAAAAATAATTCAGTATCAAATTCATTAATGTTTTTTCATCGTATTCTTTTTGTTTATGTGTTTCAATTTAAGATATTTTTTAAGATAGGTAAAATATAAAATTTCATAATTTATACATTAATAGAGTTCTGTGGTAAACAGATGCTTTGGTAAGGATAAACCAATAATTTCATTTCTGCTTGTTATTTTACTAGAAAGTAAAATTTCAGTTATAACTTTATGGTAATCTTTATAACACATTGTGGCGACCATCGTTCTCACCCTCGCAGAGATTCCACCTTCGAGGAGGTTCGAGGACTTTTTGGTAAGTCCTCGGTAAACCCTCCGTTTTCTATATACACAACTCCCCGAAATTCCAGTGGTATTCTCGTTTAAGGCAGGACCTGCTAGGCAACCTTACTGATGAGTCCCCTAGCAGGCCCTGGACGAAATATATCTCTTCCTTTTCCTTCCACCCCTTCCAGCACCACCGCAACACCGATGATACCAGCCGACCCGCCGACATAGCAACAACGGGGGAAGACCCACAACATCAAAATTGAAAAATCTTGTATATGGATTTATGGCAGCGAAAGAAGGCTTTGGTTCAGTAGGAACAGCAAAATGACAATGACCATAAAGATGAAAGAAAGGAAATTGAAAGAATGAGTGGTGATAACAAAGAAAACGTGTAGTATATTATAAAGAAAATTGCTTGGGTTCATGATTTCACATATGAATCCTTGAAAGGCAACCATGCAAGTAGGACTGTAAAAAGACATACTGTTACGTTTCTATATATGCTGTAATTTGTCTTTATGTTAATAAGTAGGTACGCTTTTGCACATTTTCATTACAAATATTATATCTTCTTGGAAAAAGTATTTTAATATCCGACTAGGTCATCGATATTTAATATACTTCTTAATAATGGCTGACTAAAATTGAGAATTTTGAAAATAGTATTTTAGTAAGAGATATAAAATAAATAGTTATTGAATTATTCATTATATTGTAATGAATTTTATATTACAGGTTGTTTGCATTTTGTGTAAGTCTTTGGATGTCCATCATATATCGATTTTTTACATTTCAAATATTATTATATCGTGACATTAACATAATGTGCAAATTTATTATAGAGCTACCCGGGTATCATAGATATACAATAGTACAATGTTGGTAATTTTGATTATTGAAATTATTTACATTGAATTAAACTTGACTATGAAAAAAAATAGTTACCATAGTATTTAATTTTAACTTAACACAATAATCATCTCTCTCTCTCTTGCTCGCTCTTTCTTGCTCTTCCTTCTTATGTTTCAATAATAGGGTGAAAATTATACATTTAATATTTTTTGATAAGTTGCAATATCTTGGATGTTACTAAAAATTGTATTGACAGTAATTGATTAAGAGGTTAAATACTCCAACTTTTTTATAAAATCTTTTCTAAAATAATCGAAACTTTTCTTATAAAATTCTTTCTTATATGTTATGTAAAATAATTTGAAAGATTTCTAATATTTATTCTTTGATAAATTTTATGGTCGAGGATTTATTCTATTTCTTTAATAAGAAATCAAATATAATGTTAAATTTACCAAGTGCATACTTTTGAATTGCCTAATCTATTAAGAAGGTCACATTTCATCACAATTATGCAGAAATTAATAATTTTTGTTTTATTGCTTTTAAATTCAGGACTTTATAATGTATTCAAAATTACATTGGTAACATACTTTTTCACATATAACACGAGTCTCGAGAAATGTTATTGTTGGTTTCCAATTACATTTATATTTAAATAATATATATTATAATGATACTTTCAACGAATAATAAATAATGTGGATTTTAATATTCACTATGAATAAAAAGAAATAACGCGATATATAATTTTCGTGAGAATTTGTTACTATATTGAACATTTATTTTTTCTGTTCAGGGTTAAGGTTTGGCTTGATACAAACAAAGGTTGCTGTAATAAATGCACTATTAAACAACAAATTCAAACTTGCACCGGATACACCAACTTCTTTAGAGTTTGAAGGGGGAACTCTTATATTAATGGCAAAAGGAGGTGTCCAGTTAACAATAGAACCACTCGGTTGTTAACAAGATACTTTTGGTAAGGATGAAAACATTGTTTCTATACATTTCTAGCAATATTATTATATATGTGTAGTTTAGTCTATGAAGCGCAAAATTTTCTGGGGTACATGTATTATGTATTTGTCAATAAGCAAGGAAATAGGTTAATTTCTGTCAATTATACGAAATGATCTTATTGATTGTGTGAAAATAAAGTCATTAAAATAAATGTATAATAACACGAGGAAAAAAGTGAAACTCTTTTCTTTTATATTAATGTTTTATATCAACAATTATTTTAAATAATATATTTATAACATCGTAATATTATAATTTTTAATATTTAAATTTTAATAACGATTAATTTTAATAATGGTATTATAAATATTATAAACTATCTATACAAATTTAAAAATTGTATCAGCTTCGGCGTCTTTAATAGAAACAAAAAGATGATAGAATTTAGAATAGATAGAATAGATTAAAAGATTGTAATAAAATTTTGTATGAAAAAATTGTATTCTATTCTCTGTTTATACAATAACCGTCCACTTGCGCCTATCACCCTCTCTGTGTATTTGAAACAACTTATACATTCGTTACATACATATGAAAAGTACAATTTTATTTTACATTAGTTTCGTATTCTCAATTTTGTACACTTCTATGTCTGAAAATCAAATAAAAAAGATTACATTTCTAAAAATATATTTTTTTATTATAGAAAATGTAAACATTTAATACAAGACTTCAGTGACAATTTTTGTATTTTGTATTTTTGGTCAGTTTTAAAGAAGATAGAAAAAAGAACACGCCTGCTAATTGCAAATTTAAAAGGAAAAAGTGAGAAAGATGGAACGAGAAATATTGGAGATACGAACGATATTTTATTTCACAGTCTGACACATGGAACATAATATTTCATTACTCCCGAATAAAGACGGTAACAAGTACTAGGTTCCACTAAAACGTTCAACTCGATTCGATTCAAAGCAGTCTAGTATCGATAACCTTTATCATAACTATCGGTAGGTAAAGCATTGGCTAGACTAAGTAGTTCCGAACGATGGAGGCCACTTGGTGATTGGAGTGCCGCACTATCGTGAAGCAATCCTGATGAAAGACCGCGAAGAGCAGAGATTTCCTGGAGAGAAGCAGGTAAACGGAGACCATCGGATTCGTGAAGCCCAACAGCTTGCTGGAGCGCAGCAGGTAAACGAAGGGTATCCATTTGATGAAGACCAGGGGGTAATGGACCAGGTGCGTGAAGGGCATCGGTTTGATACGCTGGGGGTGAAAGAAGAGGACTTGATTCATGGAGACCGGCAGGTAAGCCGAGAACAGCAGATTCCCGAAGAGGTGGAAGTTGAGGTGGAAGCTTGGGTACTGGTGCAGGGTTGACTGGTCCGTGAGTCAACAGCGCAGATGAAGCAGCGTTATCAGCCACGTGGGCGGCTGCAGCGGCAGCATTGTTCTGAGCGGCTGCAGCAGCAGTCGCAGCTTTTGCAGCGGCACCTTGGGTGGTTTCGTAGTCGAGACGAGCAGCGGACAGTTGTTCGTCGACAGATTCTGCCCTTGCCTTTGCTTGACCGACCATAGTCGTTTGCGCTGCAAGCTCTGCTGCAGCCTCTGCTGCTGCCTGCGCTGCGCGGTCGGCAGTTGCCTGTGCAGCGTTCAAGGCTGCCGTAGCTACTTGCAACTGGTGCATAGCTTGCTTGGCAGTGGTGCTTGCTGCACTCGCAGAACGTTCGGCTTGCTGCAGTTGCAAGTTTTCACCGTCTACCGCCACATGGGCGTCTCTGGATTGTTGCTCCAATCCCTGGACTACGATCTGTTTGCCGGTAAGAGCCGCAGCTGCGGTAGCCGCCGACTGTGCAGCGGCTTGAGCCAGAGTGTTCTTCGCGACGAATGCAGCTTGTCCAGCAGCGGATTGCTGATTATTTAGTTGCGTATGAGCTTGTTCCGCTGCACCTGCTGCAATGGTAACTAAGGAACCACCAACGCTGAAACCTGGATGAGGTGGACCACGAGGAAGCGAAGGTGCGGGCAGGAGAGGGCCGCCCTTAGCATATGGACCGGAATCGGCAAGTGCTAATGGTGGTTCTCGGGCATATTCGTATTCGTAACTTTCGGCTTGTTGATCACGAGTTTGCTTCTTCGTTGGGCCACATTGTACCAAACAAATACACGACAATAACAGCAGGAGCAGCTTCATTCTTATTAGTCTTCGAATTATGTTGTGTCTCGGTTATAACCTGCAATTCGAAAATTTTATTTCAGTATGAGAGTGAATTTTTTCTGTTTTTTAATTATATATAATGTAATATACTTGAATAGCATTATAATTTTCTAACAGATCGAAACTTTCGGTTAGATTAAAAATCTAGGTGGTTCTGAAAACGGAATAGCAGTTAGACATTTCAAATTCGAGGGCACAAGATTTCATGCTTAATACTATAAAATGTTCTTTAATAAACTACGTTCTTCAAAAAAGGTATCATATATTTGTCGACACGTCCCAATTACGCCATTTTAATTCCTAGTTAATTAAGTTTATTATCAGAGTTATATAGGAGATATTTGTAATTACAAAATCTATTTGCATTCGTTTCTCAAATGAAATTTTATTCTCCAAATGTATTTATTTACACGATACATGCCACGAAGAAACTAATTAAAACAAACTGTTTATATGTTAACCACTGAACACTATAGTGAAACATGTAAAAGGACATATGAAGAAATTTTTGCAATATAATATTGGAACGTATAAGCATTTGTTATACATGTTAAAAAATGTTAAATATTTCGGAATGTGCTAACTTTTTCCATATTGTATCCTAATAACTTTATATGCAGAATGATTCAAAGAATCGATTAACGTATAAAAACAATTATAGATAGATATAGAATGGTAGAATTTGTTACGCGATATAGTTACTGGAACAACTACTTCAGAGTAATATTATAAAGTAATGGAATTACAACGACTCATTTGTTAATCAGTATTAGTAGATGACACGTTAATTTCTATTTTGTTGAGTTGTCAAATTATTTTATCGTATTTTCTCTTCGATGTAATTCGATTTTTAAATTGATAAACATTCGTTTTTCGATTCTAATTTTTGCAGATATAGTAGGAGTAACGAATTATATAACTTTTTAACTGTTTTTTAAAAGTGCACATTTTATCCCACGACATTAAATCTGAGTGTTCAAAGTTTTTGAACATTTTCCAGCGAATATCTTAATGTGATTAAACTATTTATTGTTTTCTCTTTACGATTATTTTTTTTATTATAAACAGTGACGAGTAATAAGAAAAATTAAAAGAAAAAGTCATAGTTTCATATGTATTATCGGGAAAGTGGCCGAAATTATATAATATGTCTCGTTTTGAAATATAAAATGTTATGTGCTTTAAATTATAAATTAATAAATAATTTATAATTTAAAAAAAATTAAATTAAAAATAATTAGAACAACGCTACATCTAACATTCTAACATTCTTTGCCGATAATGATTTTATTATATTGAAATAATAAGTGCAGCACGAAATACGCGAGAAAATAATTTCATTTAGATTTTTGACATATTGTTAGGCTATCTTCATAATTATCGGCTGATATATCAATGAAGTAGGCAGTGGAAACCATGAAAAAAAGGAATAAAAAAGATTGCTAAGACATTTAATGTCTATAAAAAATTTTAACGAATGAAAAGTACGAAAATCCAGTAGAATCTTCTAAAACTAGAATAAGGGATTTACGATTATTCCATTAAAATTGCGAGTGGAACTTGCGAAATGAATATATTTGCAATTTTTTAAAGAATTCTTTTTTTTAAATTAAAAGAAATGGTTTGGAATTCATTATAAATAAATCATTCTAAAAAATCAGCCTATTTTTATTCTTTTCATAAATATTTATATTAGGCGATCTTAACTCATTCGTGCCGGTTGACTTTCATTCGAGTCTTTTCTTACCAGAAACCAGATTACGCACACGTGAGTATTCGGATTTGTCATAAGTCGGTCTCAAGATAAGTGGATAAAAAGCGATAAATATTTCAACGTGTCTCCAGCGCTGTTACATATCTAAGACATACATAGGTTTTATGATTATTGGATTTTATTATTATATTACTCGTTTGTAAATAAGTACATGCGAATGAGTTAATATACGAGGAATAGTGTTCTAGTTAGGGACATTTTTTCTAAACCATCATTATCTCTTCTTAGAAAACAAGAATATGTTTCATACTATATTTTTTTAAATGAATTATGTCAAGGCAGATTCTCAGATACTAGATGAAAGAATCTTCTGTGTCAGAAAACTAAATTTAAAAAAGAATCAATTGGTTCTTCGATTTTAGCCACTTTCTTCTACTGTACTAACAGAAATAAAGTATATGATAGTTACAGTTGGAACTGTTACAGTGATAAAAGTCATTATTTTACCAACAGCTACGGAATTAGTAAGTATTACAATTTTGCATAAAAGAAGGAATATTTAATTCTTATTTTCTTCACTTATTTTCTTTATACGTTACTTTCATATGTACATGATGACGTATGATTTTCTTCATATGCTTTACTCGCATATGATGAGAAAATACAATTCACATTTTACACAGGCTTTAGAATAAGGAAAAAGAGTTTAGAATTATAAGGGTTTATGGTTACTTACAAAGAGGAATAAAAATTGTCCAACAGATATAGGTTCCACAATGAATGTTTTCGACATAAAATTGATTTCTATTATATAGAAGTATTTGATATTGTGAGTCGTCCTCGCGATACGTTGAATGTGAGTAGAAAAATTAGTTTAGAAGTACATCGGTTCAAGGTTATGACAATCACCTGACTTGAATCTCTCAGATTTCTTTGGGTAGTCTATTTAATATCCACAAATTATTGCAGAATTATGACACCAATACGAGATTGGGAAGAATTATTTAGAGATGATCTATGATCCTTAGATCATGATGAATTCTGCATTACAATGCATGGAAGATACGAAATACTTATTGTAATAAAGAAAATTTATGCTACATTTGTATGTGCAAACTATCGATGTTAGTAATAATTTTATATTGGCAAACTTTAAATCTCTAGGGTACGTAATGCTTTTCTCTTTGATTAAAATCGTTTTGTATATATATTTCAGTATAGGTCATTTACCGCTGGTATAGTTATTTCCACTCACACTTGTTCTACATACTTAGCTAGATAGCGAAAGGCCCTGCATGATCGGAGCATTGACAAATAAAGCATTGAAGTGGACGTGTCCCCTCTAGGAACCACTGGTCTCTAGAGGATAAACTAATGAACTTCTGAATAAATTCCTCTATTTACATTCGATATGTTACGAAAACAGAAAAAATATCGAATATTTACAAATAATGCAATTAGTGTGAATTTTATATCTCAAGGATCGATTGCAAGACCTACGTTTATTAAATACCTTTTTACTTCTGTTGGTAAGAACAATAGGTTATTGATTCCGAAAATCCTTGAACCCTCCTTTCAACATCCTGTATATTAAACGAGTATTATACTAGTTCATTCCTTCACGTAATAGGAGAAAGATAGAAGAAATTGCTGCCATATTTACCTGCTATTAAAGAGCAGAAAAGGAGAAAATGGTATTTCGCAGAGAATAATAAATTTTGTAATTTTATGGCTAGATCAGGTTGTCGACTACAGAAAAACGTAAATAGTACGGATACTTTTCTTTAAATAACTAATCAGAAGTAATTACCGATTTTGTCACGGACTTATTATTAGACTTTTACAACATTTGATCTGGAGCATTTACTTCTGGTTTAAAGCTGTTACATTTACGAGTATATGTATACCTTTTTTTGGACACTCCCATTGCAAACCTTTGTGCCTTTCACATTTTAACGTGTATTAGTCATAGAAGATTGGTAGGGCTACCATACAGCATGCCTTAACTGTAGCGATAGTGCATAGTACAGTATATTTTGTTGATCAAGTCAATGAAATTTACAAGAATGTTGTAGATCAAGTTTCAGGTTAACACTCTGTAGTTATTAACAGTTCTGATTGTATAAAGAAAATTTTTATTCAATTATTAAACACGCTTTAGAACCAATGTGAGCTGCTCAAGGTGCTGGAGCTTAATGCAGGTAATTTAGACTCGATTTTTAAGATATAATAATTATATTCTTTTACGAAATTCAGCAATAAAGTAAATTGTTAATGACGTACATTCTACTTTTCCGGTGCAACTCTGTCGCAATTCATGAAGGTTCAAAACCAAATGTCCAGTTCCGTCGCGCTCTAAAAAGCAACGCATGTGCTTATGTACGTAAATGCATAATTAAATCGATGGGAGACTTTATCTGTATGCGATCGTAAACACGTTTGCAGTGACGTTCATCCAATCGGAAAAAATATACTTTGTATTTTACTTAAATAGTCTTTGTACATTCGAATATTTACTATTTAAGAATTTGCCTTGTTAATTTTGGAGAAAATAAAGAATAGAAGAATGAAGTCTGCAGTATAAGTTATTAAAAAAAATGAACAATAAAATGTTAAAATAATAATAATGATACATTATTTAATAATAATATATTATACTTGTAACTTTCATAAAATAATAATAAAAGTAATACACATAAAACAATATTAATGCACGAATCATATGAATGAAAGGACAAACTTTAAAAGTAATAAATTAAAAAATCGGGTAATTACATGTTAATTATAATTACAATGCATAATGTTTGACAAATTCATAAAAAAATGTTATCAAACTTGTTATATGCGATGTATAAAAGAAAATTATTTTCAAAGCATGTATCAGGGGAAGTAATATTTTTTGAGACATTGAAAAATATTTAATTAAAATTTCTGGTTATAAAAAATTAAATTAACTTGTTCGAAATATCGAAAATTAACGCATAATCGAATATTACATTTCGCATACACCGAAGGGGTAATTAAATTAAAGCTAATTGCAAGTTATTACACCACCCATTCATGACCGTGAAGTATAATTCTAAGTGAATGTTTTAAAATTGTGAAAATATGTCAAGGAGTCAATATCACCAATAAGTATATGAAATATAAACCCTATCACTTCTCCGCTCTTTAAATACTTTACTTACAGTTCCGCATGCTTTCTCGCGTGCATATCCATAATTTTATTACTTATGACATGTAATTAATTTATTCTATTAATTTTGACGTTGGACAAAAGAATTTTTAAATAAATTTTTCAATTTGCGAAAAGGAACCTTTTTAATAAATTAATAGAAATCCAAATTATGTCACTCATGTTCAATAAACTATAAACTATATTAACTGTTACAAAATAAAAAGTTTTTAAAAACAGTTGGGAATTGTAAATTAAATCGTTTCAAAATTGTCCTCTGCTTTATTCCTATATAAAGAATAGGAAATATATGTCACTTGCTTTAAACCCCACATTCTAAAAGCACGTAATAGGGTTCCACACTCCGTTCTCACGTAGTGACCATATAACTGCACGTGAATAAGTGAAAGCAAGTATATCGTATATTTAACATAAACTTTTGCAACTGATCCTTGTTAGCTTAGACGTTTCGTTAAAGTAGAAATTAGATTTTAATAATTTATATATATGACATATAAGACGCGGGTAGTATTTCTTTATAAAGATAAAGGAGGTAAATTCAGAAAGAAGGTTGCATGTACATAAATATCAAATAATAAACGTAAGACAGATTATTTTGAATTGCAATTCAGTTATAAAAACAAAAATTATATACAGGATATATATTCCTATATTTCTATATTTCCATTAAGTATTTTGTGCCTTTTTTAATCATGAATAGGATTTAGCTAAGATTATTTTTTGTTTCTGAATTACAGTTTTTAAAATCTCTAATTCTTGGTACTAATTTCTTTATTCTAAACACAGTTGTCAATTATGATGACAGTAAAATATTAATTCAAATATAACTATCTGTTCTTCGATAAACAAAAAATTTATTAAATAAAAGAATTCAAAATCCTTAGTTCATTTCTAGTTTGAATCTTCTCAAATGATTTTGTCATACTTTAAAAATCAAATATCCAGTGATATCACAATTTTAAATTAATAATTAAGGTTGATATAAATATTTTAAATGTATAAAAAAAAAATGATTAAAACACTACAACCATACACTGTATATAACTGTATATAACTGTATATTCTAACTAATTAGTTTGGTAAAAGTCCGTTAGTTCGAAATATTGGAAAAACGAAATTTCAGGAAACTTTTCTCCTAACTTCGAGAATATAGGTAAATAAACAAATATCAACAAATTTTCAATACTCACGAGGTTTGAAACTGGTCAAATGGTCAAACGTTTAAGGAATGGTTGTTTCGACTCGAAGAAACAACTAAGAACTGATACCACTTACCTGGTTATCGTAGCTCTTATAGGTCTGTTCTCAGAGCTAATGGTAATATGGTGGTTACGGAAGGGGTTCAGGATATTGAGAATAACGGCAAACTATTTCTTTGAAGTGACGATGAAACTTGATTTTGTGATAAGCTAACTTTTTTTATTTCAAAATAAATTTATCGCAATATAAATAAATATATTTGTATATCCTATATATCCTTTTAATTGGTTTAATACATTTAGGTTTTAAATACCGGATCTTGAAAACGTAAGCATTTGAAAGAAAAGAAATTAACGATTATAGTTATGGTTTCGTAATAAAGAAACTTTATTTTGTATTAAATATCTTATTTCGCAATAGAATATTTTGGGATTTAAATTTAACGTGGTTTTCTAAATTTCGAAAAGGAATTAAAACACTTGAACAAGCTTAAAATCTATAGTAGAGAAATATTTGTGTATTGCATTTTTGTTTATTGTATAAAGGAATAATTTAATATTCAATTTTAATGATACTTTTTAAAATAATATACGAATATAATATTTTAATTATATTCATTTATATTATTTATATCATTATATTTTTTATTTACGGTTATCTTCATTTTTTATTTTATAAATTTTTATGTTATTATACGCAAATATTATTTTATTTGCAACCTAGTAGTTTTATTCTTTATTTTTTGGATATCACGAGAATATTTAAAATATTGCAATTGATTTCATAAGATTTTACTATTTATTTAATAAATGATATTTTAATAAATTAATTCTGATATATAATAATTGTATATAATATTTAGTAATATTAGTAACAATATAATATATAAATTGTATTGTATACATATTGTATATTCGACATGCAAAATTCGATACAATCGCGTTTCATTCGTTTCTTTGGTTAATGTGCTTCCATACGTCACACTAATTAAAAATAATTTTATACTTTGGTATATGATGATTTATATGAATTACAATCCGGCATTTACTTAAATTCCTTGTTTTCAGAATGTACATCTTTTACATTTACATCAGTGAGTATTGTCCAAGAAACTCCCATCCTTAATTTTCTAACCAAGTAAATGTAATTTTTTAGTGCTTCTGACGTTCGAATATTTTGATTGTGGAAGAGTTCACAAGATTCCAATTAACTTAGTAAGTCTAAAACTACTTCTTATTACTCATTTACACGGTCATCATTGTTCCATGCCTTTTCATTCTGACGAAGTTACCATTTACTAACCTTCAATGAAAAGACTCGGATTCGTGTCTTGTATTTACGAATTTATTTTTCCGCACCTTTATTTCAATGCAACTTACAATTAACAACGATAACTTGTTAATTCTCCAAGAAATATTCGCATGATATACACCATATTATACATGAGTATCATAATACATACATAACTTTGAATAAACGTGTGAAATATAACATGGGTATGTACATGATAAAAATCGAAAAACTTTATATATATAATTTTATATATAATATTTGGGAATTATTTAATTTAAAATTAATCAATCCAGAATTGTACGAGGAGTGAGTCTGATTTTTACAAACTGTCGAACAATGTTACTAACTGGTTGCTATATTTTTAACTTAATGATAATTTAATTGAATTTAATAACAGTAACATTTTTTACATTTTTTACATAGAATCAAAGGGAAATGCGTTACGCTAATGGACCAAGTTGTAGCAGTGGGTCAAATAATCCCAAAAAGGTTCCAGAGAAAAGCAGTAGCATAGCGCAGAAAGCAGCACAGGAAGCCAAAGCTGCTTCAGAAGCACAGAATATTGCTGGTCAGCAAGCCGCACGTCAAGTACTTATTCTTTTTCCGACCTATTCATTTATGGTGTTCCATCGTAGGGACACAAGTAAAGATCTTATACCTTTATTTTATGCACGATAAAACAGAAAGGAGAGTTATTTTCTCGTTAAGCTTGTATTCTTCGAGTTTCTCGAAGGAACGAATCTTTAGACGCCTACGATCAATGAAAGATCTATATTACGGCAAGCCTTAAATCAAATCTCATATAGTGAATCCTATTACGTCAGATTTGTTTCTCACATGTGGGATTGATGCGCATATTCTATGAATGTTCGCATTATTCGTTGCGAAAACAAACTAAGCGAGTTACCGTTTTCTACGAAATCGCTAAACTCTAATTCCCACATAATGACTAAAAATATTACTCGTGAAAGTAATTGTGTTATAGCGTGTTACGTTTCGCTAAGCGTCTATTAGTAACACTGGGAACAAATAAGATATACAAAAAATGAATATAAAGTTATCAATGGAATAAAAATGAAATTACTATAAAATTATCGATTAAATGAAACTAGAACTAATAAAAAAAATATTCACGAAATAAATATAAATGAAATTACTATAAAATTACCGATAAAATGAAACTGAACGATATTTGCCAAGTTTCATATGAATTTGTACAAATGTCCTTTGACGTACAGGTGAAGACACAGCTTGCAGAGAAAGCAGTACAGGCAGCAAAAGCTGCGGAAGAAGCGCTGACAGGGAAGAAAGTCATAGTAGATCAATTACAAGAAGAAGTAAGGGAAGCACAATCAGTCGTTCAAGAAGAGTCCTCATCTCTGGAGCGAGAACAATCTAATGTTAATGCTGCCCTACAAGCAGCTCGTCAATCTCAAGATCAGGTGATGTATTTCAGCTTAATGACCGAAGGAAATAAAAACTTACATTGGTAACTTGAAGTGTAAACAATTTCATTCTTGAATTAATATTGGAACGTTCATTTGTCACGTCTCATTTCTCATCAATTTCTATTTCTTTTTATCTGACGATCATTTAATTTTAAATCTTGAAATTGAAAGAAACTAAGCGGATAGATGAAATAACAGACGAATCTGATACGTATCAAATGAGGTAATCAATTAGTAAAGAAGATCTTGGTACGTTATCATCGAATTAACGAACGATCCGTGAGAAATCATTATTAAGGTAGTAATTCTTCTCTTCTTTTTGCGTATCGCAATAGATATTTAGAGCTATCCTAGGAGATTTTTTCCATAAATGTGTCTTACTAAAATCCAAGAGTAATTTATTCGATTCACATATTATGTTCATTTTATTTTCACATTCGTTAAAAATACATATATGATAGCTACATTGAGTGATTTAAACAATTTTTAAAACGATTATTCATTTAAACAGCTTAACGAATAAAATTTTATTACTATATGGAAAGGTACAGATTACACCATATTTCCAGAGAAATATCGAATGAATTCAGATTATGCACAAGAATAGTTTTAGATTTTTTGGAGAAAATAATTTATTTATTATTTAACAATATATATATATATACATATTCGTTTATTTGCGCTACGTGTATGCATCAAGATATGTATCATAAAATGAAAAATTAATACAATTTAAAGTTGCAGGAAGCTGACAATTTACATGTATGTAAATACATAAATATTGACGAATACTGCATGTTATGTAAGGATTGGGTATGATTTTTGAATCGCGTTATATCGAAACCACGTTATATATGGGTTACCTACACTTAACCTTTTATAATTCAAATTACATTCGACGTTTTTATTCCAACTATTGTTTTAAAACATTGTTCAATTTCATACTAACTTATATATTTACATACTGACTACAATTTTAATTTTATGTCAATATCAATATGTCAACGTAAATATGTAAGTGTTTACATTTAAATTCTGAATTGAAACAAAATATGTAGTCTAGCTTCACGCGTGACTACAGAAACTTGAACTCGAAAAAATCTTAACTTTCATATCAAACATACTTACCACAAAATACAAATATATTTACGTTAAAATCTAGCATTACGCGTATACCTGGATAAGTAGCAAAATCTTGGTTTATATCTATAACCTCATTTATATATAATAATTTATTTAACTACTTAACTACTTAGCCACCAACAGTTCCTTACGAAAATCTGCATACTATTCTAGAAGGAATTATAAATGGCGTGACGTATAAACATCATACTTAATACTAATGGCAAGCATTTAGCAACTTGCTCTACGTATCCACGCACGTATACGCATAGCTATATATATGATTAGCCGTTCACTGAGGTACCCGAGTTTCCTATATGATTCATTTTATTGTTGCTGGCCGTAATACACGGCCTTAACAAGCTGGCAAGAATTACCGAGAAATACTTTCAATATCGTAAAAATCAGAACGCAACCCGATCGAAGAAGTTGGTTTACCTTACTTCTCTTTTCCTTTGGTTGCGATGCAGTTAAAGACGCTGACACACGCGATGCAGACGGCTAAGGCGAACGCAGCGAATGCCCAGGCTGCCGCAAACGGGGCCCAAAAAACTTTACGAGAGAGAGAGGAATTGGTTGATGCGGCAAAAAGGCGGATGGAGGAATTGTCAAATCAGCTGAGAGCTGCTAGGCAAGAGCTGGCCAACACGAATCGCGCCGCAGCTAAGGCGAACGCAGCGGCGAACGAGGCGAAAGCCAATGCTAGCAGAAACAAAAGGCGTTTGGAAAATATTCGTAGGATGAGGACCATGAAAAGGTGATCTAACCTTTGGTTTCAACCGCTCATTCGCCAAATCGATTAGCTCCATGAAACGAAATGTAGAAATTTATTTTAAATACGAAATGTCAAGTACTTTGAAGTAATTTTAATTTTTAAATTTGGGAAGATTCGAAAAGAGGAGTTAAACACTTTGACCTATGAATGGTTCATTTACTGTATTATATATATAATAATTATGATGATTGTTCAAATTATGTATTTTTTGTTTCGAAATGATGGAAGCTCCTTTGCAAAATTAAAAAGTTAATTTTGACTCAAATTACTTTGACTCGCAAACTAGATTTAATGGCATTAATTTGTGCTACTTTGCAAAAGAAGTTCTACATTTTTTGTGAATGTAGTATAGAATGAGCGATTAATTACCAGTATATTTATTTCAATATTTTGACGGCAATTATATTCTCTCATACCTAACTACTACGAAAACAAAAGTATCCGAACAATTCAATTTTTTAATAATTGAACAGTCACTTTTATCGTATTAAATTTAATTTATTAATTTATTACTAATTAGTTATTATTAAATTAAACTTAATTTATTAATTAAATTTTTAATAGAATAAAAATTCTGATATTAAATTGACTTGTTAAAAATGATCTTCTTCAAAAGAGATTTTTTATCAATTACTGTAATTCTTAAATTTGGATTTCTTTCTTTTTGTTCCAAGAAAGTCCATATTGTACTAATAGGCAAACAGAAGTGTTCGAATTTGATTTTTGGACAATAGCACAAAAGCTTTCTGATATTAAATTCATTTATTTGAATAAAAACGATTTCCTTAAAAGGAGTCTTGTTAATTAACAATTATTAGCTGTAAAATTTAAGTTGACTCTTTTATTTATTCCTAGAACGTTCTCATGTACCACAGATCTAGATATTCGTATATTTTTGTTGTTTTGTTGTCGAAACTATTGAAATACAATGCCCTCTGCACTTTTACGTTTTAGATTCTTTAAAAAGTTTTCGTACTACTACTAGCATTTGAGGAATCTAGATTTTTAGTATCTGTGATTGTAGACCTTCCGACACAAAATACTCTTGCTGATTTCCTTGTACTTTCACCACTTTGGAGCACTTTAATTAATTATACTTTGCTTCGATACTTACGTTTTCATTTAATTGCTGTTGTGTCATAGCATTAAATTCTTATGATCAGGACCATTCGATCTATACAAAAAGGTAAATATCCGGAACACTATTTTACTATTAGTGTATTCAGATATTTTGCTATTAAGGTTTGTAAGTTTCAACGTAATACATTTGTAGCTGATTATTTTTCCAATTTTGTGATTGTATTAACAATCGGTTCGAGTAGAATAAAAAGATTAAAAAGCTGGTTGTCGCAGACTTTCATCGTTATCCTTTTTAGTTTCAGTTCCAAGTTCGTGATATATACATATTTAAAAAGATCATTTTTTACATACATATACGAATTTGAGAATAAATTCCTAAAAAAGGAAATATTAATTTCCTGAAGCAAAATTTTACTGTTTACCCTCTTGAAGCTTTAAAGGTATAGAATATAATTAAATTTCTTTCTTTAATATAATTAAATGTGAAAATATATATATAATTAATATTTTGGTTAGAAATAAAAGGGTTAAAGCATGAATGAAAATTACAAAATTTATTTTGAAATATCAATATTATAAATAATTGTTCCTTGAAGACAAAGGCAACCAGAAACGGAACTTGAAATGACGTGAATCGACGTCAGAGACAACCAGAAACAGAATCATAAATGACGTGAACTTACGTCAGTGACTGTGAATGTGGTAACCATAGTTAACAGTAGGATTACAAAAACCAAAGTGATTCATTTCAATCTTTTTATTATTGCACTTCTTGAAAACAAGCTGCTTCTTGTGAAATTATTATAGACTTCTATCGAGATAGAAATGTCATTGTAATATCTATTTATTTTCATCGTACCATTTTAATTATTACATACAATATACATATGCATATATGTACTCTCCTTAAACATATTTTACAGATCGGTAAAATCCTAGTCCTAGTGTTATTAATTATTTAATAAAACATCGTGAATTAACGTCTTTATAACTTTTTCTTCTTTAAAGTATAGTCGCTCATGCAAATTTTCGAATACTTATGTTTCAAATTTTTAACAAATGAGATACTTTAAATAAGTTTAAATATTAAAAACGTGAAAGGAAAATTATTAAAAAGTCCAATCATATATTTATTTATATTA